CTAGGAATCTACTAGGTTTTTGGGGATAGAGGGACTTGAACCCTCACGATTTTTAAAGTCGACGGATTTTCCTCTTACTAAAACTTTCATTTTTGTATGTATTTACATGTAGAAAAGGACTCTCTCTTTATTCTTGTCCCATTCAGAAGTTTGGTTCGTAAAATAGAAATATCAGAATCTATTATGGAATTAATGATTCAATAAATTCAATGAATATTGAAGTAGTTAGTTGACTTTAATAGAGTCAAATCCTTTTGTTAGAACAGCTTCCGTTGAGTCTCTGCACCTATCCTTTAAGTTTTTTCAAAAGGATTTGGATCAGGATTGCCCCTTTTCTTAATTCCGGGGTTCCCCTGAATTTGAAAGTCATCACTTAGTAAGTTTCTATACTAAGGCCCAATCTAATTAAGTCCGTAGCGTCTACCAATTTCGCCATATCCCCTTTTTTTATGTTGATCCCCCGTATATGGGGGGCATCTCGTGTACGCATTTTTTTCATTTAGCTTCAAAAATTCCATTCATTAGCATTCATGAGAGAGTGTTTTCTCTTCTTTTATTTTTTAGCTAGATAAAAAATAAAGTACATTCAAAGATTCAAATAAATTTATTTTTGGTTTACTCAAAGTAATAAATAAAAAGATTATCAATATGAGATTCTAATCAGTATTTCAAATAAAAGATATAAAATTCTAAATAAGAATGAAATCTTCCCACGTTTTTTTATATTTAATTATCGTGTATATTCAAGTTCGGCCTGCTTAGCTCAGGGGTTAGAGCATCGCATTTGTAATGCGATGGTCATCGGTTCGATTCCGATAGCTGGCTTTGACATATGTAAAACGGCCTTTTTTGAAATCTTTGAAATCATAATAGCAATTAACTAACATCGGAACTTGCAACTATCTTAATCAAAATTTTGCTCTTTCTAATAAAAAAAAAAAAAAATTCTTTTCAAAAGTTATTTACCTTAGTAGTTACGATTTTTTGATGTAAATAATTTATTGTCAGGATTCATTCACATTATTATTATTATTAATTATATGAAAAATGTCCAAACCAAAATATTTGAGAAGTTTGAGTGGCATTGCTTATCCGGAATAGAATATTTATAATAAATTGAATTTATATTGATGGGCGGGATTTTATTTTATTTTCTGAAGCATAAAAAAATATCTACTTAACTCAGCGGTTTAGAGTACTGCTTTCATACGGCGGGAGTCATTGGTTCGAATCCAATAGTAGGTAGAACAACTTATTAGATACCATCCACTAAGATATCTAATAAGTTTGTGACCTATCCTTTTGAATAGAGATTCGTTTATTTTTAAAAGAGCGGCTTTTTAGGAAAGAATATTGATCGCCTTTAAGCGTGTTCGAGCTCGGCGTAGAGCTAGATTTGCCTCAATTTTTTGTCTCTTTCCTCCAGCTTTTTTTAAAATCTCTTTTGCTATTTTAAGAGTTTGCTCGGCTTCTTGGGGATCAATCTCACTACCTTTTTCAGCATCATTTACCAAAACAGTGATTTCATTATTCACTATTCGAGCAAACCCCCCCATCAGTGCCGTCGTTAACCATTGGCCGTTAAGGCGTATTTTCAAAATACCTATATCTACAGCTGTGGCAATAGGTGTGTGATTGGGTAATATTCCAATTTGCCCACTATTAGTGGATAAAATGATTTCTTCCACTTCTGAATCCCAAACAATTCTATTAGGGGTCAGTACACAAAGTTTTAAATTCATTTATTCAAATCCTTCCCTATTTTTAAATTTCTAAGTTTTTAAGTTAATTGCCTTGGCGGTAACTTCATTGATATTCCCTACCAAATAAAAAGCCTGTTCAGGAAGACCATCTAATTCGCCAGCAAGGATTAAATGAAATCCTCTAATCGTTTCAGCGAGACCTACATATTTACCTGGAGAACCTGTAAATATTTCTGCTACGAAAAAAGGTTGTGATAAGAAACGCTCAATTTTTCGTGCTCTTGCCACGTTTAAACGATCTTCTTCGGATAATTCGTCGAGCCCAAGGATAGCTATAATGTCCTGAAGTTCTTTATAACGTTGTAAAGTTTGCTTGACTCTTTGCGCAGTTTCATAATGTTCCTCACCAATGATCCGAGGTTGCAGCATCATTGACGTTGAATCCAAAGGATCAACTGCTGGATAGATACCTTTAGCAGCTAAACCTCTTGAGAGTACGGTAGTTGCATCTAAATGTGCAAATGTCGTAGCAGGAGCAGGATCAGTCAAATCATCTGCAGGTACATAAACTGCTTGGATCGAGGTTATGGAACCCTCTTTGGTGGAAGTAATTCTTTCTTGTAAAGAACCCATTTCTGTACTCAAGGTCGGTTGATAACCTACAGCAGAAGGCATTCTGCCCAGTAAGGCGGATACTTCTGATCCCGCTTGGACGAAACGAAATATATTGTCAATAAATAGAAGTACATCTTGCCCATTAACATCTCGGAAATATTCCGCCATAGTTAGGGCAGTCAAACCAACTCTCATACGAGCTCCTGGTGGTTCATTCATCTGACCGTAAACTAGGGGCCACTTTGGATTCTGCAATATTTTGGTCATTAATTACTCCGGATTCTTTCATTTCCACGTAAAGATCATTTCCTTCGCGAGTACGTTCACCCACTCCGCCAAATACGGATACTCCTCCGTGCGCTTTGGCAATATTGTTAATTAATTCCATAATGAGTACTGTTTTACCCACTCCAGCTCCCCCGAAGAGTCCTATTTTTCCTCCACAGCGATAGGGGGCTAAAAGATCTACTACTTTAATTCCTGTTTCAAAAATAGATAATTTTGTATCTAACTCTATAAAGGCGGGCGCAGATCTATGAATAGGAGATTTTTTATTAGTATTGACAGGCCCTAAATTATCAACAGGGTGTCCGAGCACGTTGAAAATTCGTCCCAGAGTTGATCCACCGACCGGGACACTTATAGGAGCTCCCGTATCAATCACTTCCATCCCTCTCATTAGACCATCTGTATCACTCATAGCTACAGCTCGAACTCTATTATTTCCCAATAATTGTTGAACCTCACAAGTCACGTTCGTTTGTTTACTGTCTCGCCCTTGAACTACTAGAGCATTATAAATATAAGGCATCTTACCAGGGCGAAAAGCTACATCTAGTACCGGACCAATTATTTGGACGATATGCCCTATATTTTTTTTTTTCAATTGAGGAAACCTCAGAACCAGAAGTCGTAGGAGTGCTTCCCATAAAAAAAAAATTTAAAAAACTTTTCAAATTACAAATCACTGCCCGCAAGCGGAAGATTAATTCAATAAATGTAATAAGAAAAAAGGGGGGATTTTCTTGGTATTTTTTTTATATTATCCAGTATCCAATAAATTAAAATTTAATAAATTTAATTTTTGTTGAATTAAGGAACTGAAATAGTTAAATTATTTTAAAGTGGAGGAATAAAAATATTGGGAAAGTATTTCAAAAGTATTTCATTAGAATTTGTTATTTCTATCCCATTAGTTTTTTTGATTTTTTTATTAGGTTAGAGAGGTAGTGTAAAAAAAGTGAAATTGAAAAACTGGGTTGCACTAGATATACAAAAGAGTATAAAATATTGATGCATTTGAAAAATTACTCAAATGCTTTGAGTTTAAAAATAAAAAATTATGATTTAGTTGATAATAGATAATATTGAGTACTCGGGAGGAATTTTGTGAACGATTCCGACCAAAAGCAAAATTAACGCAGAATTTAGGTCGAGTAGATCATTTTGTTGTCAGAATTATTAATTTATGAGTTATAAGGAGGAATATATGTCACCACAAACAGAGACTAAAGCACGTGTTGGATTCAAAGCGGGTGTTAAAGATTACAAATTGACTTATTATACTCCTCATTACGAAACCAAAGATACTGATATCTTGGCAGCATTTCGAGTCACTCCTCAGCCTGGAGTTCCCCCTGAAGAAGCGGGGGCCGCGGTAGCTGCGGAATCTTCTACTGGAACATGGACAACCGTGTGGACCGATGGACTTACCAGCCTTGATCGGTACAAGGGCCGATGCTATCGCATTGAGCGTGTTATTGGAGAAAAAGATCAATATATTGCTTATGTAGCTTACCCTTTAGACCTTTTTGAAGAAGGTTCTGTTACGAACATGTTTACTTCGATTGTAGGTAATGTATTTGGTTTTAAAGCACTCCGCGCTTTACGTCTCGAAGATCTTCGAATACCTCCAGCTTATACTAAAACTTTTCAAGGTCCGCCTCACGGCATCCAAGTTGAGAGAGATAAATTGAACAAGTATGGGCGTCCTCTCCTGGGATGTACTATTAAACCCAAATTGGGGTTATCCGCTAAAAACTACGGTCGAGCGGTTTATGAATGTCTTCGTGGTGGACTTGATTTTACCAAAGATGATGAGAATGTAAACTCACAACCCTTTATGCGTTGGAGAGACCGTTTCTTATTTTGTGCCGAAGCAATTTATAAATCCCAGGCTGAGACAGGTGAAATAAAAGGACATTACTTGAATGCTACTGCAGGGTACATGCGAAGAAATGCTAAAAGAGCTTTCTTTGCTAAAGAATTGGGAGTTCCATATTATAATGCATGACTACTTAACAGGGGGATTCACTGCAAATACTTCTTTGGCTCATTATTGCCGTGATAATGGTCTCCCTTCTTCACATCCACCGTGGCAATGCATGCAGTTATTGATAGACAAAAAACTCATGGTATACACTTCCGCGTACTAGCGAAAGCGTTACGGCTATCCGGTGGAGATCATATTCACGCGGGTACTGTAGTAGGTAAACTAGAAGGGGAAAGAGAGATGACTTTGGGCTTTGTTGACTTATTACGCGATGATTTTGTTGAACAAGACCGAAGTCGTGGTATTTATTTCACTCAAGATTGGGTTTCTTTACCCGGTGTTATGCCTGTGGCTTCTGGGGGTATTCACGTTTGGCATATGCCTGCTCTAACCGAGATATTTGGGGATGATTCCGTACTACAGTTTGGGGGAGGAACTTTAGGTCACCCTTGGGGTAATGCGCCTGGTGCCGTAGCGAATCGAGTCGCTCTCGAAGCATGTGTACAAGCTCGTAACGAAGGACATGATCTTGCTCAGGAAGGCAATGAAATTCTTCGACAGGCTAGTAAATGGAGCCCTGAACTAGCTGCTGCTTGTGAGGTATGGAAGGAGATTCAATTTGACTTTAAACCAGTGGATACCTTAGATCCAAATGAGAAGAAAGAAAGATATACTAGGAGGCTCCTGCAGGAGATAAATACAGATAACTTATTCGGGAATGGGTAGAGGGAATTCAAGCAATTACTAACCCCCCTTCTCTTCTGAATTGCAATTAAATTCGGCCCAATCTTTTACTAAAATCACTCAAATACTAAAAAAAGTAAACAGATTGAGCCGGATATCTATACATATTAATGAACTTCTTATTTATATTTGGGTATAGGTAGGCAAGAACAAATAGTTAAATTTGGTAATTGGGGGTAGAGTTATATAAAAGGCAATTCCATTTTTGGATACTCATACCCATTATTTTAGGCAATAGCCTTAATGCTTGGGTTTCTCTTTTTATTCTGATAGTTGTTCAAAAAGAACTTGTGTTTTTTTATTTTGAGTTTAGGAATATTTTATATCCAAACGACTATTCCATGTATTGCTATTTTATTTTCTATTGTATTTTCATGCATTGTATTTTCATGCAAAAAAAACAAGGGGCAAAAATTATGGAAATGTGGGGGGATAATTCATTGGATAAGAAATTTGAACGTGGATGGGGGCTAACTCAATCAATGGATGGTGTTAGCCGTCCTATTGAAGAAAATAGCAGGCAAAATGAAGATACGAAGAAGCAAGATATGTTTGAAAACATTCAGACTTGGGAGGATCGTGACAATTACGGTTGCAGTAATGTTGATTCTGTCTTCGAGTTAAACTATAGTGAAAGTGTCATCAAAGATGACACTTTTCTAGTTAGCGATAGTACTGGAAATAATTATTGCATCTATTTTAATATTGAAAATTATATTTTTGAAACAAAAAATCCTCACTCTTTCTTTAGTGAACCTTTTTATCTTTCTTCGAATTCAAGCAATCTCACTCAAATGAATGAAGTGAGTAACGAATCTAACTCTCAGATTGAGATTGCTCAGTCCGTTGAAAATTCTATTAAGTTGCAAATAGAGCGAACTACTATCACTACTAATGAAAAATGATAGTACTGACAGTTTCAGTAATGAGTCCGTTGTTGATGGTGAAAGCTGCAATAGGAGCGAAGTCGAGAGTTCAAGTAGACAAACTCACATTGGGAGAGAATATCCTAAATTTAACCATTTGTGGCTTCTATGCGAAAATTGTGATACATTATATTATAAAAAACTTATTAAATTAAAACAGTATATTTGTGAAGAATGTGGAGATTATTTGCAACTGAGTAGTTCAGATAGAATTGATTTTTTTGATCGATGAGAAAACGTGGGCTCCTTTCGATGAAGACATTCTTTCTCGGGACCCCATTCAATTTGATGAAGACTCTTCTGAAGAATCATCGGAATACCCTATATGACTTTTCAGAATCTTCCTATTGATCTTTTCTATCAGAAGAAACCCTTATGAAGACTTATCAGAAGTACTACTGAAGACTAAGTCGTATGGAATACCCAAGTAGAATCGTGGATACCTATGAAGACTTTTCAGAAGACTCTTCTGAAGGAATCGTCGGAATACCCTTATAAAGACCCTTCTAAATACTTTTATCAAGTATTTTCTAATTATGAAAACTCTTATGAAGAGGATCTTGATTTTTATCAAATAGAAACAGGCTTAACCGAAGCTGTTCAAACAGGTCTAGGCCAAGTCAACGGTATTACTGTAGCAATAGGGGTTATGGATTTTAAGTTTATGGGGGGGTAGTATGGGATCCGTAGTCGGAGAGAAAATAACCCGTTTAATTGAGTACGCTACAGAAAATTTTTTGCCTCTGATTATAGTGTCGGCGTCCGGGGGTGCGCGAATGCAAGAAGGAAGTTTAAGTTTGATGCAAATGGCTAAAATATCATCTGCTTTATACAATTATCAATCGAAGAAAAGATTATTTTATATATCAATCCTTACATCTCCTACAGCTGGTGGGAGTAACAGCGAGTTTCGGTATGTTAGGGGATATTATCATTGTTGAACCTAATGCTTACATTGCATTTGCAGGCAAAAGAGTAATTGAACAAACATTAAATCAAACCATACCTGACGAGGCACAAGAAGCTGAATTTTTATTTGAGAAGGGTTCATTTGACTTAATTGTACCACGTCATCTTCTAAAAAGCGTTATTAGTGAGTTATTTACGTTTCATGACCGGGGCACTTTCTTTCATTCAAAGTTCAAATTCATTTGAACTTTGAGTGAAAGAAAATAATTATATTGATTTTAGATTGATATAAATAGTTAGATAAAAACTCACAGATACAAATAAATATAGTAAAAAAAATACCTTTTCTATGAGTGACTTTCGTCTCTTTTTATACCATTAGTAGGCTTAGTTATTGCCGGCAATTGCAACGTTTTATTTATTTATTACTGTTCAAGAAAAATAAAAATTTTTAGATATTTTATATATTGAGATCCTCCCTTTTTTGTAAGTTGCTTTTTTTTTGTATCATAACAGGAAGATCTGTGGAATCATATTGACTTAAGGCGTTATTTTTTTTCTATCTAACCAAGTTTATGAATTACCCCTAAAGGTTTACATCAAACTAGTGCTAGATTCTCATCAAACAAATATTCGTTTGATGAGAATTACTTTTGAAATAGCAAAGTTCCTAATTAATGGTTTTTTTCTTAATTCCAATAAAATAAAATAAAATCGGATGTAATATGAGTTGGCAATCAAAAACATATATGGATCGAACTTAGACCTGGGTCTAGAAAAATAAGTAATTTAGGTTGGGCTTTTACTCTTTTTTTAGGTTCATTGGGATTCTTATTAGTAGGAACTTCCAGTTATCTTGGTATAAATTGGATATCCTTTTTTTCAGCCCAGCAAATTCTTTTTTTCCCACAAGGAATAGTCATGTCATTCTACGGAATTGCGGGTCTTTTTATTAGCTCGTATTTGTGGTGTACTATTTTATGGAATGTTGGTAGTGGTTATGATCAATTCGATAGAAAAAGGGGAATTTTTTGTATTTTTCGTTGGGGGATTCCCTGGAATAAATCGGCGCATTTTCCTCCGATTCAATATAAAAAGATATAAGGTCTATTCGAATAGAAGTGAAAGAAGGTATTTATGCTCGTCGTGTCCTTTATATGGACATCCGAGGCCAGAGGGCTATTCCTTTGACTCGTACTAATGAGAATTTCACCCCGGGAGAAATTGAAAAAAAAGCTTCAGAATTGGCCTATTTTTTGCGTGTACCGATTGAAGTATTTTGAGAAGGGGGCTACACCTCTTTTCAGTTACTTTTTTTCTATTTTTATATATTTTCTATTTATTTTTCCAATTGCATTTTTTACTAAGACTCAGGAATACTAATTAGCCAATTGACCAGGCAGTTTTTTATTAGCACAAGCAAATCCCCTAGGAAGTTTAAGTATTCTATTGCTTACTATTTCATTCTAAATATTTAAATATCTAAACATTCAGTAATTTTTTTCTTTTTATTTTAATTGAAAGATTTGTATCGGATATCTGAATTTCATCTGTATTCTTTCTAGATTCAAAGACTGGCCAAAAAATCACAACAAAAATCAATACATACTTTAATATACCTTATACCTTGTAAAAGTAAAAACTCATATATGGTGGGTTCATGAAAAATAAAAATAAAGTATTCACTCCTCTTTTATATCTTGCATTTGTAGTCTTTTTGCCCTGGTGGATTTATTTCTTATTGAATAAATGTTCTGGGATCTTGGTATTACTAATTGGTGGACTACTAGGCAATCCGAAAGTTTCTTCAATAATATTAATGAAAGAGTCTTCTGGAAAAATTTATTGAATTCGAGGAATTTCTATTATTGGACGAAATAGTTTAAAAAAGACGTGGAGACACACCCACAAGAATTTATTATAGGAATCCATAAACAAGCAATTCAATTAATAAAGATACAAAAATATAGTGATATCCATCTTATTTTTCGTTTAGCGACAAATCTAATCTGTTTTTTTATTCTAAGTGTTTCTGCTATTTTGCGTAATGAAAACCTAAGTCTTCTGAACTCTTGGGCTCGGGAATTCTTATATAACTTAAGCGACACAATCAAAGTATTTTGCATTCTCTTATTAACTGATTTATGTATCGGATTCCATTCACCCCGCGGTTGGGAATTTATAATTACCTTTATTTCTAAAGATTTGGGATTTTGTGATAATGATTTAATTATCTCTGGTCTTGTTTGCACCTTTCCAGTCATTCTAGATACAATTTTTAAATATTGGGTTTTCCGTTATTTAAATCGTGTTTCTCCGTCACTTGTAGTTCTTTATCATTCATTGAATGAATGATTTGAAGACTCTATGGGATTCATAATTCAATTTGAAGATTAATTTTTTTCTGTTTTTCTATTGTAAATAAGCGAAGCATTAAAAATATTACTTCATTACTTATTTTATAGAACTATTTTTTTTTATATTTTATTCCATCAAATAGCAGAATCCTGGGTAGCAAACTATACTAGTGACCTACCCCATTTTATTGTATCAATTTTGCAATCAACGATTCGACTATGCAAACTCGAAATCATTTTCTTTGGATAAATAAACAGATTACTCGATTGATTTCCGCATTGATCATGTTATATATCATAACTCTGACATCCATTTCAAATGCATATCCTATTTTTGCACAGCAGAGTTATGAAAATCCACGAGAAGTAACTGGCCGTATTGTATGTGCCAATTGCCATTTAGCTAATAAGCCCGTGGAGGTTGAGGTACCGCAAGCGGTACTTCAGATACTGTATTTGAAGCAGTAGTGCAAATTCCTTATGATATGCAACTTAAACAAGTTCTTTCCAATGGTAAAAAAGGGGGGTTGAATGTGGGGGCTGTTCTTATTTTACCGGATGGTTTTGAATTAGCCCCTACAGATCGGCTTTCTCCCGAGATGAAAGAAAAAATAGGCAATTTGTTCTTTTCAGAGCTATAGACCCTCGAAAAAAAATATTGTTTGTGGTGGGCCCTGTTCCTGGTCAGAAATATAGTAAAATAACCTTTCCCATTCTATCTCCCGATCCTGCTACTAATAAAGATGCTCATTTCTTAAAATATCCTATATATGTGGGTGGAAACAGGGGAAGAGGCCAAATTTATCCCGACGGTAGCAAGAGTAACAATACTGTTTATAATGCTACAGCAACAGGTAGAGTTAGCAAAATAATAAGAAAAGAAAAAAGGGGGGTTATGAGCTAACCATAACGGATCCATTGGATAGTCGTCAAGTGATCTATATTATCCCTCCTGGACCAGAACTTCTTGTTTCAGAAGGGGAAGATATCAAATTTGATCAACCATTAACGAATAATCCTAATGTGGGGGGGATTCGGTCAGGGAGACGCGGAAATAGTACTTCAAGATCCATTACGTGTCCAAGGACTTTTGTTATTTTTGGCGTCTGTTCTTGTGGCACAAATATTTTTGGTTCTGAAAAAAAAAACAGTTTGAAAAAGTTCAATTGTCCGAAATGAATTTATAGACTTGTAGCATTAGCAATCTAAAAAGAGACGATTCAGTGTTATCCATAATAGACGATTCAGTGTTATCCATAATATATAATTAAATTAAAGTCAAATTCTCAAAAACCTTTAATATCTTTATACTATTATACTATATTTGCCAAATTTTATACTAACTGCTGGGAATTTCCGGTCATAGATCATAGTATGTCTATTTTTACTTTTATATTTTAAAGAAGATTTTTGGCATAACTCTCTATTTCATAGTTTTCTATTTCAAATTAAAGTAAAAATTAAAGTAAATTAGAATAGATTTTGCGTCTTCCTCTTTTTACTTTATCAATACAGGAAAAAAGAGAAAGTAAGGGGAGGAGGTATATATAATATTGGTTCAAGATTTAGAGTATTGGTTTCTAGTTTTGAGGCGTATTTTTATACCTCATTTTGAAAATGAAGAAAAAAGATTTTATATATTCTATTATTATAATTATATAATATATAATAATAGAATATATAAAATGAAATGATCGAACTTAAGATCTATATTTTTTATAGCAGCCTAGCACTTTATTCTTTGTACTTAAAGTACTCAAATGAAAATATCAATCTATACGGTAATAGAGACCAGGCCTTCTGAATAAATCACTGAGATTTATAGAAAAAAACTTTTTTTATTTTGTGAATAAAAGAGTCTTCAGAACTCAACGTGATTTAAAAGCAAATCACGTTGAGTTCTGAAGACTCTTTTATACCTCGAACTTAATTGATCCGATTACTACAGGGATGAACCCAATCCAGAATATGAACCATAAAAGAAAATACCTATTAAACCTATTACAACAATACCTGTTAGAGTACCTATTATCCAAAGAGGAATCCTTCCAGTAGTATGGGTCATTGATCCCACTTACCCCTCACACTTCATAACGTGGTCATGCTAGAGACATAAACAGTCATGGATAATTATAATATGAGATCCTTCCGATTGGGCTAAGAGAATGCCTATCGCTTTGAGGTATCTCTTTTATTAATCCTAATTGAAGAAATAATTTGAAAATAAAACAGCAAGTACAAAAATAAGTAATAATCCCCAGTACAGACTGGTACGATTTAATTCAACGTTTTGCTCGTTTGGATTTGATTGTGTCATAGCTCTATAATTCGGAGTAATTTGATCATTCAATTTATCGTTGAATAAACTGCATTGCGGAAATTGAGCCCAAAAAAAAGACAGTAGGTACAGCGAGGCCATGAACAGCTAACCATCGTACTGTAAAAATTGGATAGGTTCGATCTATAGTCATTGGGACCTCCTACGAAAACGATCTAGGAAATTAATAGAGTTGTTCCAAAGGATCAAAACGGCCAGTTATTAATGGAATTCCTTGCCGGTTCTCTGTAAAGTACTCGTTTGGCCGTGGACTTCCAAACACATCGTAAGCTAAACCGGTGCTGACGAATAACCAGCCCGCAATGAATAGAGAGGGTATAGTAATGCTATGAATGACCCAATATCGAATACTAGTAATAATATCAGCAAAGGAGCGTTCTCCTGTGTTTCCAGACATATTGAACTCCGCATATTCTTGTACATTTTAAAAGTGCCGATTCCTTAATAGCATCTTTTTTATTTTTTATATTATCAATATTGTACCGAGGGCGTCTTTTCTTGAGAGTATACCCAATCAGTATAGCATCCTGCTTCTGACGCAGCAACGCATTTTAAATTGAAAGTAAGTGCTCAATTTTTTATTTATTTATTGACTCTTTCACTATTAACGTAAAATAAGGTTCTATTCAATTTTATTGAATAGAATTCAATAGAAAAGAAAAGCCCTTGACTCAATGAAATGAAATAGAGGCGCGATTTATCAAAAAACCTGCCTTTTTTCGTTGGTTGGAGAAGCGGTTGTTTTTATGTAATCTTAATATACCCCTTCCTTTTTCCTATGGATTTTCAAATATTTGAACATGAAATAATTCTTTGGTCCAGTAACCAAAGCTTAAAATTTAGATCCTTTTTTCTCTAAAAAAATAGACTTCGGTAAATGCTTTATAAAACATTATGTCCCATTTATAAACACAAGATATTAAAAGTAGCCTCTATCATGCTTACTTATAACTAGTTATTTTGGTTTTCTCGTGGCAGCTTTCACTCTAACCTCAGCTCTTTTTATTGGTTTGAGCAAGATACGAATTATTTAAAATTGAAATTAAAGAATATCTTCATTAATATAAAATCTGTTAGGGGCTTCTTTTTCTGTTTAGTCTAGAGTTACTTTCAGTTACTTGTTGCACTAATTATAAATTGCTTTTAATAAAATAAAATAATAAAATATTGGTTATTTAGATTCATGTAAATTTCTATGAATATTTTGATATAGATATCACTTTTTTTTTTATTTAACACAAATAATGGAATAATGGAAGTTTTTATATTGGGAATCCTATTAGGTATAATTCCTATTACTTTGGCAGGTTATTTAATAACTGCATATTTACAATACAGGCGTGGGGATAAGTTAGAACTTTAATTCATAATTAAATGAATAGATCGTTTTTTTATCTCTTCCCTTTCATCCCCAAGGATGAAATTTTGGATTGCTGGTTCACATGACGGAATCTAGTGAAGTATTATTTATTAATTAATAATAATTAAGTCGAGAATAAAAAAAACACGCTCTGTAGGGATTTGAACCTACGACATTGGGTTTTGGAGACCCACATTCTACCAAACTGAACTAAGAGCGCTTTTTTATCAGAATATAGAGTTTTTTTCGTAAGTAGAATTCCAAAGATTTTTAGACTTGTATTAGAAACTAAGTATTACTAATATTCTAATACTACTCCAACCCTAGAGGTATGCCTCCTTTGAAGCGATTTCGCTAGATGATCTCTTACTCTTCAAAGGAGAGCGTTTATTAAGTAGGGATGACAGGATTTGAACCCGTGACATTTTGTACCCAAAACAAACGCGCTACCAAGCTGCGCTACATCCCTTCAAATGTTATCCAATATATGAGAATAGGGCATAATTGATTATAAAATAAGTCGCATAATTTCATTTTTTCATTAGTTGTATAATCTTTATATATCTGTTATCTATTATAGTTTTTCGATCTTTCTATATCCTTCTTTTATTTATAATTTATACAAAAAAAAATAAAAGGTGGGGCCTTTACCTACATCTAGATCTGATAATATATGTACTATAACTATTGAGTAAAAATCAATTTTAAAAGGAAAGGAGGTTTTTTTGATGCGATATTTTAAAACATATCTCTCTGCGGCACCAGTAATAATTACGCTCTCATTAGGAGCTTTAGCAGGTCTATTGATAGAAATAAATCGGTTTTTCCCGGATGTGTTGACATTCCCCTTTTTTTAATTCTAGTTATTTAATTGACTTTATAGAGCAAGGCATGAAGAAGACTAGAAGTACCATCAAACATACTTAAATATAGAAGGACCACTTCAGTATACGTAAAAATTCCCTCCTTCACTTTTCTTTGATTAACGGAGGAAAGATAAACGAAAGGAAAGATAAATAAAAAAGAGGGATTCAAGGTTTGGGCTCAAGGTCAATTACAAGGTCAATTAAATTACTCTTCTATTAATACTTCTAGGGGTGGCATTAGTCAATAACCTAAAAATTTGACTGACCAAAATAAAACAAAATAAAAGGAGATTCATGACCAATAAGAAAGATGTACGAGGACCCGTAATTTTGGAATGTACCAGTTGTTTACAAACCGGTGGTAATAAAATTAAAATATCAATAGGTATTTCTAGATATATTACTCAAAAGAACCGGCACAATACACCCAATCGATTAGAATTGAAAAAATTCTGTCGCCGTTGTTACAAACATACGATTCATGTAGAAATTAAAAAATAAATAGGTATTTTAAAAAGTAGTGGGAAAATAAAACAACATTTTTAGTCTGAATTGACAAGGAAACTTAATTCTAATTCAAAACAAATTCTATTCGTATATTTCAGTAGACGGAATAAACAAATTATGGATAAACCCAAGCGACCCTTTATGAAATCTAAGCGATCTTTTCGTAGGCGTTTTGCCCCCGATTAAATCGGGGGATCGAATTGATTATAGAAACATTAGCTTAATTAGTCGATTTATTAGTGAACAAGGAAAAATATTATCGAAACGCGTGAATAAATTGACCTTAAAACAACAACGATTAATTACTCTTGCGATTAAACAAGCTCGAATTTTATCTTTGTTACCCTTTATGAAAAGGAAAGGATCTGAAAGAGGGGAGTCGACCAAGCGAACTAGTAAAGCTAGAAATCAAAATAAACAAAAGAAATATCAAAGTAATCGAAATAAATCACTAAATAAAAAATAAATAAATAGACTTATTGGACTTGATTGAGAATTGCAATCAGTTCTAACAGAACTAAAATGGGAATTAGTGTTTTGCTCTAAAAAGACGCGAATCTAGATTTAAGTTCTTTATTTATCATTTTTTATAATAAATAAGAAAAAACTGTCCCGGAGTTCATTCTCCGGGAACTCTTTTTGAATTCTTCCAGTATCTACTTTATGTTTAGAATCTCGTTTGAAATCATATAAACGCATTTCCTATTTAATATTGCGATTTGGGCAAGTATTTTACGGTTAAGAAGTAATTGGTTATGGTACAAATCATGTATGAATTTACTATAACTATAGGATACTCCTTTTTCACGACTTACTGCATTTAGTCGAGTGATCCACAAACGACGAAAATCTCTCTTTTGTATATCCCTATCCCGAGTAGCTGAAACAAATGCTCTGATTGCCTGTTGATTAATAGTTCGAATAAGTGTTGAATGAGCCCCTCGAAAACGTGATGTAAAAAAAACGTATTTTTGTTCGACGTTTCCGAGCTATAGAGCCCCTTTTAATTCTGGTCATTGAGTATTTCTTTGTTTTGGTGATTGTCTTATTCGTTCGTCTATTTTATTTACTACTAGGATTTATTAATATTATTCTTTATTAATTTATTAATTGTCTTCTGTAATATTGATATGGTATATTAGATATATATATGTTCTTATATACATTATTATTATATCTTTAATATGTTTATTAATTAATTAATATTATATGTGTATTATATTATTATATCTTTGTGTTTATATATTTACATATATTTATTCTGTAATGTTTATATAATATTGTATATTCTTCCCTTATTTACGAAAATTATTTATGAAAAAAGGTATGGAAACGGATTTTT